CTCAATTATTGAAAAGGATTCTTGTGGCTATGGAAGATCAGATGTGTGATTGGTATGTCATGCATGAATTGTCTACCTTCTCGGGACACTTCATTTTCCTAACTATTTTTCCTAACTATAAAACGAGCTCCAGCCGAACAAAAGCTTATGGTACTCAAGCTCGTGTCAGTAATTAAACTCGAGTTCAACTCGTTTATCAACATTAACAGGTTGAACTATAAAAATTTATATAAATAATTTCTTCTTTTCGAGTCTTACCAACAAAAGCCTAGCTCACAAATAGCTCGTTTTATTTAAGAATCTATGGTTGATATAATCACATATATAATAATATAGTTTTCTTAATAGTTCTGTACTTTTTTTCAATTTGTTAGTTGAGATTTTATTTTACTGTTGATATAGTATTATTCTTTTGTCAATGTCTCTCAAGTCTCAATTCAGATAAAATAAAAATTGTATAAAGTTGTGGCTAAGAATCATCTTATAAGCTCAGGGGAATTGCTTCTTGTTAAATAAAATAACAATAAAAATATAATATGAAACTGAAGCCTTTATTGATTTGAAATATGATTTACTGTGTAAATAATTTGATCAACATGTCATGGTGTGTGACGTGTGTCAAAAGTATCAATCCTATATTTTTGTAGCATGATGTGAAATTTATTGTGAGACTTCTCTTACCTCACATTTAAACTATACTTTTTAATTGGTTTGATGCGCCAACTTACCTTATAGTTAGTCTGTCTCATATAAGATTATGATATTTTAATAGTTTAATTTTAAATAATCCTAGATTTTTATTTTATTTTTATTTTATTTTTATTTTTTTTTGTGCGATTCTACAAAAAATAATTGAGTACACACAAAATAACTTTTATCGAGGCAGAATTTTTGTGTCAGTTGGTCAAATTGTTAGATGAGTCGGTCGATGATATTCTAAATAAAAATGCATACTTAAATATATATTTAAAAATAATAACAATATGAAGTTATAGTTTTCATGTCCATGTCTTCTTTAGGATGAAGTGACCTAATGTGTCACTCAAAAGTAGTCACCTAAAGCTACCAAATTAATTAGCTCTGCATCCTACTTGAAAATTTGATATACAAATATCGTTTGTTGATTAAATCATGCTCCCTTGATTGGATCCATCTTGAGATGGAAATTTATCCAATTGTTTTATTGTTAAATCAACATACATTATTACAAATATTTATATGTGTGTATTGACATATATATTCCTTCCATGAATGGACATTTTTCATTTAAATTGGCATTAATTTTCAGGAGAAATATTTGCATACATTCCTCCAAATTATTTAATTGGTTTAGCCTCAACCTCAAATTTAATTTGTCATGAAATAACTTGCTGAGCCATGAGTTTAATTACTTTCTCACCTTCTGGTCAAAAAGTAAGTTGGCATTAGTTTGACCAATGAAGATCAAAATAATATTAATAGATTTCTTTTTATTCTTTATTCCATTGTTTGTGGTGTTGTAATTATTATAACTATTATTATTAAGAATTTAAATATATAACTGTAAGATGTCCAATTCCAGATTGGATTTCATTGTATACATTTGTTCCTACTCCGACCAAACCCAATACAAGCGGAGATATATAGAAGGCCTCTTAATTTGGACCTATTTCATTGTTTCTCATATATAATAATATTGAAATTATGGGGAGTAGTAGCTAGCAGGCATAGAAATAAAAATGATATAAAATTCAATAATAAAAGTAGAAGCCAAACTTAAAAGTTAAAAAATTGATGAAGAAACACAATTAAATTCAACCATACAATATGAAAAATAATAAAACTATCACGAACTATGTAAAATGTATCTTAGTACGTACGTAGTGTAAACAATTACGAAATTTCTTATATCTTTCTTAGTATTCTCGGTACAAGATACATCGAGTATAAGATGATCAAATTTTGTTGTTCTTTTACATTATTTCAAAATCAACTGTTATATATGAATAAGTAAATAAAATAAAAAATATAAAAATGATTTTTTTAAAAAAAAATTAATATCAAGTCAAGCTCGATATTTTGTTTTCAAATAGAATATTATTCTATTTTCACTTACAATGGCTTTTGTAACATTCAAATTGTTAAATGTTATTATTAACTTCCCCTAAAGGCTAAAACAATACATAGCCACTGCACTCAATTTTGGTTAGAATATTTGATTTTTAAAATCATAGCAATAATTAAACATAAATATTATTATCACACATTTTTAATAAATTACATATTTAGTACTATAAAATGTTTTATTTCTAATTATAATATTCTCTAATGTATAATATTTCAATTTATATTATTCTCTAATATATGATATTTCAATGTGAACGTATTTAAAATTAATTAAAAATATATATTATCTAACCATTAGATAGTCTGGTACAAATTAAATAATATCCACACATAAAAAACAACTGACCATCACAACTG